AATCTCTTGTAATCAAGAAGTCAATTTTTTCCAAATAATTTAGTTTGCTAACTTGTATTTTAAAAATTGAAAAAATAATTAAAAAACTCGACCATTCTGCTTCTTCTGAGTACTAATTAACAATGTTAAAAACTTTATATATTAGAAACCAAGACACATGAAAGAATAGCCTCTGGGACCTTCATTCCTGAAGGAATAGATCTACAGGAACTATTAACAGGAACACAGCTAATAGCCTTTTAACCTGCAGTTCATGACTTAATAGGAAAACCAACAAAAATTTAAAATGCAATACAAAATATCATAAATGAAAATAAACAAAAGGTTTAGATCAAAGAATTCCTTCAAATGAAACATTAACAACAAAAGTAGGTTACTTTTCAAAAACATTTACAGAAAGAAATAAAACTTGTAAGATAGAAAAATCAGTTATTTTATGAGACATAATTTAAAATTTTTATATCAATCTCTTCCAAATTTTTGGAATTTACTGTGGTGAAGCTGACCATTAGCCTAATAAATAAAAAAATTCTGTGCAACAATACATGTGCAATCTTGCAATAACATAAAAAAAAAATTGGACTTGTTTATAGTGGGGAATTTTATAATCAATTGTTATTTAATATTAAAAAGATAAGAAAAAGCATATTGTTCATTATTAATGTAAGCTAATCTTTAGATGATACATTTTTGAAGATTACAAGTTTGTGATTAAAGAAACACTGATGTGTTCAAAAGATCATTTTTAGTTGTTTTGGAGAGAGAAATATGTATAATTTGTTGGCATCAGAGGTGATGTCAGGCCAACTGGGAATCAAGGCAAGTGAATAAGTATGAAGAGGCCCCACAGCAGAATTTGGTAGATTGATGTATCTAATGCTCCAATGGGTTGTTGTTATCTACAGCCTCTACAGGCAAATTAAGCAACTACTTAGGGGGCAAACTATTGCAATTTTATTCCTACATATCTGTTTTATAATTAAAATGATTTCGTTTTCTTTCTTTTTTGGTAAATGTGTAGTGAATGGTTGAGGACTGGAAGACTTTTTAATCTAGTAGCTAGTTAATTTATTATAAATGCAGTAACATCAATGCTCAATCATTGTGAATTACTAATGGTAAAACAATAACTAATTAAAAAGCATGCAAAGTTAAATTTTAATAGACTTACAATAAAGAGTTCCTAAAATAACTTTTTAAAAATAAGTTCCGTTTCATATTACAAAATATGTAACTTTAGCTAAATTATGTATTTATACTACGTTGAATAGTTTAGCACTTAAAAATTAAATTAAAAAAACTAATATCAACTTTTGTGCATGTGTGTGAATGGGATGGAAAATAACTGAAACAGTCCAGTATAAAAGTCAACCAGTGGTCCCGTTAGACACCACGGGTAGGTATTTTCTGAAACTATTGGTATTAATTAGCTCTTCTATTTTCATAACTAATTTTCATGAGTTAATTATCATTGCATGTGTTATTGTATTGATGGTAAAGGATATTCTATGTTTTATAGATTTTTCAATATTTTAAATATCCTGCTCCTGAAATTAGTGAGCATGATCGTTACTTTTTTGTATGACTGAAATTAATGCATGTATCAACATATTATTAATGTTCTAACAGATGGGACTCTTAATATGTAGGTAAAATTTCTCACAAGTGAAGTCATTGTGTTTGTTCTTCTCTTGGAGCACCAAAAATAACTTCAAGATGTGATAAACACAATAAATTCCAAATAATTTGCTTTCCACTGTGTGTATTTATATCTTGCAACTTCAAAAATGTGCAGTGAACACTGTCTCAGCAGCCAGGTGTGTATGCAGGAAAGAGCAGGTTGCAACACCCACCAAGAGAAAGTATTGTGAAAAAGATAATACCATGAAATGAGACTGGTCCCATGGAATCATCAATTGGAATCACCATGGCATGGAACAACTATTCTTCCTTGATAGTACTGTGTGCTTGGAGCTCAGATCATTTGCTAGATGATGTACAGCAGGCAGTAATCAGTAAATGTCAGATCATTTTGTGGTGTGTGTGTGTGTGTGTGTGTGTGTGTGTGTGTGTGTGTGTGTGTGTGTGTGTGTGTGTGTGTGTGTGTTATAAATGGCAAATATTGATAGTTTGTTGGGTCACCATCTAGCAGTTGTGAGGCTTTTGGTCATCAATAGATGCACTAATGACCAAACAAATTTTTAAAACTAATGCATTTTCAATATTATAGAGGAGAATTTAATATTAGGAAAAAATCACAGAACTGTTGGTGAAAACTTGACAAAGTGGCTCAAAGTAGCTCTGTCGATGATAAATCATCTGAAGTCACAATTGAAGTTGTAATGGAGGAAAGCTTGCAGAATAAATGAAAAATTTAAAATCCAATGATTCTTACATTTCATTTTCATGGTATTTAGAAAAGAAATCTGATCATCTGGAATTTCCCATTGAATCCAGTACTCTGTGCACAAAACTAGTCATTTTACGTCAACTAGTATTTCAACTTTTGCAACTCAAATTAACATGAAAGCTGAAGGGCTCTAAAACTTCTAAAGGAAATGACTGCAAGTCCTACATAGTCACAGAAACATAGAACATCAAATAGAAGATCATTAGAACACAACAACATTACAGTTGGCATGTGTAGATGTCCTACTGCTTTTAGTGGAAGCTAAATTGTCAAGGCATGATTGTGACATCATCAGACCAAGAGCTCCTAAAAAATTTCCTTCGTGTAAAATAGTCCAATACAAGAAAAAGCTCTGCTTCCCCGAAGTTATTTAAGTTACCAAAATGTTTGCTGGATCACACTGTGGAATGCCTTATCCTGTCAGTGGAATGTCAACAGATTCCTATATTTGAGTCATTTCAAAATGAAGACCAGCATCTGCCCATGCTGATAATGAAATAAGGATTTGATGGCTTGTAAGTCAGTCTTACAAGCTGGCATTTCATTATTATGATGCTGATGATTCTGCTGTTTCTTGTATAAGTATAGTTCCTGTTCACCTGGTTTGTGATGAAAAAATTGTTTGCAAAATCCATGATCTGCATCAACAAAATATTGTAGACCTCTCAAAAAAGAATTTGTAAAAGAATCAAAGGAGGTGTGCATTAAGAACAAAATAGCAATGGTGATGAGATAAAAACATTCAAACAAGTAATATCAAGATTGGAGAAAGATGAATGGAGGTGGTGCACCAAATGAGCTTTGTAATGATTTAGATTTATTTAGTCAAAAAACAGAAAAAATCTGTATGTGACATATGGGAGAGAAGATAATCTGTGCACATTTTCTTGAGTTCCAGAATTCCTTCCCATCATTTTAACTACAAATAGTTGAAAAATGAATAAAAGTTAAAAACAAATTAAAATAATAATAATAATAATAATAATATTTTTTAAAAAGCGCTACGATAGTGCCATTTGAAAAACTAGACATTTTCATTCCCGAATTATAGAAAACTTATTTGCTATGGTAAATGAACTGCAGATTTTATTTTCTGTATTACTAACAAAATAGTACTGCACCCTTACCTCTACTCCTGCCACTACAAGCAAAAGGAGAGTTCAACAAAATGTGTGCATAGTGAAGCTACATTTACATGCAGAAGCAAAATAAGGGGCCATTTCAATTTTCTCAATGTCTCAGGGAAACTGGATAAAAACCTGATCGAGATGGGGTAGATAGGGCATGATTGATGGCAAAATATGTAATTCTCTGACTGAAATAACTTTCACACAAAAGTATATAATGTAATGCCACCTCACAACAATTTGATAATGTGAATTAAATAATTGACAGAAAAATAAATATAGAAAATTTGAAATTTCGTTTGTCAATTCTACATGGCATTTTTTGCATATTTGAATGACCATTGTATTTAACTTACAAGTTGCCAATAAAAAACTGGCAAGCTTATGAAAATAACAAGAAAATTGTGGCTGAAAATAAAACTTATATTCAGCAGGAGTTTTGAGAATGCAGTAGCTTGATTGCACCAGCCAAAATCAGTTTCCAGTTACACAAATATCAGAAATACATCCAGAAGATTCTCTCAGAACCTTCTGTTGAAAATACAAAATAGATGCAAGTTCAATCAAAATTATGCATGATATTATGATCATTGTATTATGTTTGCATGAGGTAGAAAATTATTGAGCTTTCACACGTAAAACATCTTGGCATTTTGTTGAAAAAAATTCATGGTACAACATGCCAACTGTATTGCACAAATATTTCGTGCATGGACCTGACATTGTTTTTCACCTTTGCTTTCCATTGGGTAACAGAGGAAGTCCAAAAAGCACTCAACAAACGTTTTAAGAACAACAGGGAGCACTACTCCCGAAAATGATCTTGTGAAAACTCTTAAAAGTGATATCTTGAATTTACTTCTTATAAGTTCAGATTCTCTTATTATCAGCTACAGAAATTTGCCAAACAAAAATTTGCTGAGCCTGCCAAAAACGCTCAAGAACTGTTGATTCAAACCAACTGAGTCCGGCAAATTTTGTGGACAGCCGAGATAATTTTGATGGCACGGTTCATAGTACTGAGAGTTAGGGGGAAGGTGATTTTCTCACAATGCAATTCTACTGATTTTTTTTATTAGTATAATTAAAAAAAAAAAACTTTATGTATTTTATTGCCCCTTTTCATTAAAACACTATTTAAACCTATTTCTTGTTTTTAAATAAAAACTCTATTATCCTAAAATAGTCTAATTTTTCTTTAAATTAATAAATATCATAATGGAAGTTTCACCAATTCTTTCAGCATAAATTTCTCTTTATAGTGATATGCAATACTCCGGGTTATAGGCATTACATGAATTAATACCACAAGTGGAGCCCTCTTACCCCACTGTGCAGTGTCTGAACTTGTGTGACATTGAAATGGCAAATGGCAACCAAGGAATGTAACTACTTGGTTGATTGTGAGCCCACTTCAAATAGTTTCTTTCAGAACAAGCTATAATTGTAATGAATGATTGAATTTTAACTGATTGCCAAACAAATTGTAAAATAATTATTTCATTTCACATTTATTGGACTGAATGAATTTCAGTTTTTCTGTTATACTATGATTTCTAAAGTATTTCAGTATTATTTTATGGGTGTTCAGGACATTTAAAATTCAAAAATATCAGAAAAATGACCATAGTTTTGTTCTAAGAAAATATAGAACACCCTACAATAGTGCCTCTCCCCCCCACCCCCACCCCCTCCTGCATTGCTTCTGAAAGATAGACTGGGATACTGGAGAAATGTAGCAATGATCACACAAAAATGCTATGCCTTGCAACTGACATCCAGGACTGGTTTCAGAAAATGAAAATTCTCTGCCACCTCTGCATGAAATTCATAAGCATATTTTGTACATATTATTTGAGTGGAGAAAAATTTTAATTCTAGTAATAATAACAATGTATTTTCAAACTTAATAAACGTAAGATTTTGGGTTCAGAAATTAATGATTATAAAAAAAAAATGATTGAAATGTGAATAAAGTTTTCAGAAATAAATAATACATGGCTCTAATAGGTATTCCAAATGTATGTTTCTGTAAATTACCATGTAATGTAACATACATCTGCATTTCCCAAACATGTTTTAGAAGAAAAGAAAAAAATACTGCTCATTAATGCATTTCTCTTCAGAAAACAATCTTGCATATAATTCAGTCTTCATAAATTATAGCCATTTCAAAATAAAAAAACAAAATTTTCAGGAAAGAAATGCACAACTGAACTGTAATAAAAAAGCAAAGCAATAATTAAAAATCAAGAAAATTTCTTAAGTAATTAAAATCCCAATTTTTCAACAAAACAATTTACTTTATAGTTGTTCCCCAGTATATAATTTAACAATTAATTATTAATGGATTTTAAAATTACTCATAATTAGTGAAAATCTGTCAGACTTAACCAATGTTTCTGCTACAGAATCACGTCAAAATAAAGTGTTTTCTTCTTTTCAAAATGGTTATTTTTAATGAGATTTTGTTATTTCATAAAACTTGTGTGTTTACTACAAAACAAGGGAAGTTGGAAGAAAAGAAAAAAAAGAAGAAGAGAAAAGTACTCTTTTGCGACCAACTAAACATCAAGCATAATTCTGACCGATTGCCTTTTATATCTATAATTACACAACATCTTTTGAATTTGAAATTAAATTGTTGTAATTAATGTAAAATCATGGTTAATAAGGATTTTTGATAGTTTATTTGAATTCTATTTCTGTGTCAAATATCAATCATCATCTGTTAATAAAACAATGTATCAGTATTGGTTCAAAATAAATTTCACTATATTTTTTTTAATGTTTCTTCAGGTATCTCTTTTCATTTTTATTTCATTTTTCAACTTTTTATTAGTCAGGCAGTTATAAAATTAATGTTATTCAGAAAATGAATTAAAGTAATATTAACAAATAATCCATTATATATATTTTTTACCAAAATGAAGAATTCTGGTATCACTGGCACTGAACTGGAATACATTTTCGAGCCACAACTATACAATCAATACAAACACTCTATTTACTTACAAAATCACTCGTACATAATAGGATCCCTGAACACTTGGACGGTTAGAATGAATTATCTCCAGTTCTCTTTCCACACGTAAAACTAACACCACACAACAAATTGATTTCACAATTGATACCATGGACACTAATACTGACCTGTGAAAGTGAGCACGTATATTGCAGGGGAAATAGGATGCAATTTTGAGGGACAGGATGCTTAAAAAATCACTACACAAGGTAGAGGCAACAGCACCACCAAACGTTAATCGTGTGCAGTAAATATTTCAATATTGTAGGTAGAATGTTTACACCATGGTATGATGAAATTGCACAAAAAGATGTATATAGAAAACTGAACAGTGGGAGCTTGTCTAGGCCAGGTATATACTGTTGCGAATGCTCCCTGTGCTACACACAAAACATTAACATACTTCTTGTGTTTATCGTGAGTGCTATTAGCACAACTTAGACACTCCAAGATCAGGCACAACATTTCTGACACTTATAGTTCACCTTTAAAAAATGCATTTCCACACCACACAACTTTATAATAAACTTTATAATGAACTATACTTTCAAATAAAAAATAACAGCTCAGTTCCAGAGGTCAGTAGACCCAATTGACGGGAACCCACTGATGTTCTGTGCTGAGAGCATCTAATGCTTCAACAACTTTTCTGAAGGTGACATCAAAATCTTCATTTGTAATGGTCATGTCAATGTACTTTTGATATGCACGTTGTAAAGCAGCACTTTCTTCTAATGTCTGACGCAAATCTTCTTCCTGTAATTCACAATAACAGACATGAAAAGATAACAAATGTAGAAACTGAAATATTAAAAATCATTTGTAAACAGAAATCAGAACAATAATACACAGATACATTTAAGTACTAGCTATTTGTTAAATAAAAGTACAATGGTAAATTAAAAATTTAAAATTTGTATGGAAAAATTGTATGATTACAAAGTTACTTTCTTTGCATTAATAATTGCATAACATATATAGATAATTATTTACAAAAATATTTTGGAATATATTTAACAAAGATAATAAAGGATCACAAAGCTGAAATCTACAATTCCTCTTGACAATTAAAAACAATTTCTTAATGAAGAATTGCACATTGCAAATATATTACAATATCCTTGCCAGGTTATGTTTCAAATACTCTTCTGGAAAGAACTTGTATAGTTTGCATTCTATTATTATTCTGTATCTGCAAAATCATATTTATACAATTATTACACAAAAGATTACTTTTGTGCATTTGACTTAGGTACTATTCCAAATTATTTTAGTGTTGAAATGTGAAAACAATCAAACAATTGTATTGTCAATGTTCATCAAGAAAGAATTAGATAACATTTAATTAATAATAATAATATTCTTCGCATGCTAACGGGTCATTTACTTCAGGACATTTTTTAACTTTTGCACCTATGCTGGAGCATATCTCAGAACTTTCAATTGTAACATAATATTTACAAAAACAATTCATTTACAGAACAAGAAATGAATTAAAAGTAAATTATATTACTGTTATTTTCCTAATGACGTTAATAACATATCACTTATAAAAACAAATGGTTGTAATAAGGATGACAATTGAAGGTAAATTATAAACAAATCATTAAAACAACAAGAATTAAGATTAACGACATCAATTATAATAATACTTCATGATAAGGTCAAAGAATTTCACAATGCTTCTTGCTAATGAAATCAATACTATTACGCATATTAATAACAAAATATCCTTTACTCAGGTCAAGACTTTTAAGATAATCATAGAAATGCTAATTCTGTATGTGTCAAGAACAATGTTTTCTTACCCTCCAAACATTAAGTAAAAGAACATGTATAAATTTTGATAGGTAGATTTTTGCAGATAAAGTAACAAAATCTTTCTTCAACTGGCTTCCGAACTTACCTCATACAATGATGCAAGACTTTCCAAAGTACGAGCACGACGGGAGCTGTACCTGATGGAACTGGCTCGATCAAACTAAGCACAATGCAGCAAACATTACACACCAAGCAAGATTACACACAAAAAAGAAAAATAATAATAATAATAAATATAAAACAAACATATTGTAATCCAGTAAGGAATCTTTTATACTACTAAGTATTGGAGCTCACAATTGTAGAATTAATTATTACAGCAAAATGAAACTTGAATATGTACAGTTAGAAAACTTTAACATCATGTACAGTCAAAAGTAATAAATAGATGGCGTAAGAAGTCAAACAATAACTTCATGCAAAAAAAATCATTCAAATTCTACTAGATACATTGGGCAATAGAAAACCTTTATTGAACAGGCAAAGCAGTTAGCAACACATAGGTCCTCCAATTTATAATGTAAAGAAATTTCTATTCACTTTACTTGCTTAAAAGGGTTTTTATAATGGAAATGTATAGTTTCAACAACAACAAAATTAAATAAACAAGGAGTTCTTTCATTGGACCAAATTCTGGTTCATCTCGATGAACTTGATTCGCATGCTTTGTATGTATGCATAGACACTATATTATACTGAATAATATATACACACTTTAAAAACTTTTTCACATCAATATACAAAATGCATGTAGCACAATGCATATGTTAAGCAAGCACAACAAATTAACAATAGAAAACTAAGTTACATTGTATAATCTTTCATAAAAGGTTTAAGCAGCCATAGGCGTGGACACAAAAGGGACCAGAGGGGTTATAGTCCTACTAAAATTTTGAAAGGTGCCCCAAAGCTATATTTAATAAACATTTTATTTCCCTTATGCTCAATTCCTAATTTTCCCTTCTTCACCCTGACAATTTGAGGAAGAAGCTTTCCTAGCTTTCTAGCAATCTTGTAAAATCAATTGTGTTTATTAACTGCATCACCATAATCAAGTTATAATTCAACTCTCCTTGTACTATGTTTTATTTATTGCTAGTTTAATAAGCTTTAAGTAAGTACAAAAAGATGAATGGGAAAGATTGCTCCCTCTTCTTTGAGGGTGTGCACGCCTATGTATGCAGCTCTTCCTGTTACAAACTTACAGTGAGATTGCGCGAGGATCCCATTCCATAGAGGTGCTTCAACTGTTCCATCCCAGGGGAAGCGATGAAGATGACATATGGCATAAATTCTGATGAATTGTGCAGAATCTTCAAAGCCTAGGGGTAGAAATAAAGAAGAGCATGTTATCCAACAGACATGTAGAGAATAATGGGGTACAAGGAAAAGTGAAAATTACAACCTTGATTAAGTGATACCTTAATTGAAGAGAAATTTGCATTTAAGATCAAATATTTCTTGTTCGCAAAATGCTTTCATAAGAACTATGCACATCCAATTTCAATTTAGTGATATTCATTCTAATTAGAATGAAACCCCTATTTAAGGAAAGCCAGTCTGAGATTCAATATGTCTCTTCATGTTTTGGACCGGTGATTCTCTCCAAAGAAGAATGGTGGTTTTCAGGGGTTTAAAGATGTTTTATTTTTACAGACTTCGTGGTACCATAGAGAAAATTCCTCTATGATGATACTATCCAAGAGGAAAAGGAGAATGAAGTTGAAGAAGCATCACTACTTTCATTTTGAGATTCACTGGTATTGATGGATATCGTAAAAGACTATTTGATGAATTTTAATGTAGAGATTAAACAATGGAAAGAATTCATAAACTGGAAAAGGACATTCTGTGTTGTGAGTCCTTTTCAAAAAGGAAAATGAACTACTATTATTAACAATTTTTAAAAACTAGAACATAATAGAAACAGCAGGTACATGGGGCTTGATCAGTGGAAACTAGCTTTAATTACTTGTTTTCAGAAGTTTCAGAAAATTTATTTCCATCCTCATTACATGAATAACATCAACAAATTCATTGGGTTGATTAATAATATAAGCCAGTTTGACACTTATTACAATATTTTTAAACAAAAAATCCTACAACTCAGAATGAAAAAAATAATAAATGGACAATATCTTTGTTGTTATAAGGTTTTGTCTTCTTATTATTAATTTTTCCTTCGAAGTTTTATTTCAGAGTGCTGTTTTAGTTTAGTTTCTTAATCAACAGATATTTTTGGTCTTATTCAAGAACAGCTCTGGGGAGGAATTTTCTGAAACGTTTGTGAACAATAATTACAACTATTTTCCATTGACAAAGTCCCATGAACCAGTTGTTTCTATTAGGTTTTTATGATGAAAAGGATTGTCAATATTAAAAACAATAAATGTTGTAACATTAAAGTTAATCATATATTCAAAATTTCGGCTCTCTATTATTGAAATCACCTGATTCTGGTTTGACATAAATCCGCATTAAAAAAAAAGTTCTCCAGGATTACACTAAATAAGGGTTTCATTGTAATGTGTTAATGCATTGAGTAGAGAGCATTGGCTACACAACACAACTAATCTTAAATCTCAAGTATTCTATTAATAATGGAAAAAGGAGAAAAGAAGAAAAAAAGCAATGAACAAATACTGTATTGTGTACATTGACCATTGAATTGTTACAGATTATTGTACTTCTCTGCAATGAAACCTACCATGCATATTTTTTAAACATTTTTTAAGTTAAATATATGTAATATAAAATTAGTGGAAAATTAATTTTGAAAACACAAATTACTTTTCACTTTGTGTTGATACACGATATTTTACAGAAAATAGAACAACTTACTGCAGGGCTGCAATCCAAAACGCACATTTTTCCTTGACGTATTACATCACGTATGCTGTCCAGTTTAGTGCCATATAAATGGCCATTGTGTTCACCATATTCTAGGAACCTGTGTTCACGAATATCATCTTCCATTGATTCACGATCAATGAACCAATATCCACGACCATTTTCTTCCAAAACACGAGGTGGTCGTGAGGTATCTGAAAGAAAAAATGCATGGCTGTATTGAAACATATCAAGAAAGTGTGGTTTGTACCACCAATGAAAATTTTGTGACCAAAAATAGGTAGTAGAGGTCACTTTATGAGTAAGTGTGGGTGTGAGCATGTATCTGGATGTGTAGGAGCTTATGTGAGTGGGTTTGGGGGCAGGTGTGTTGAGGAGGGCACCCAGGGGAATGATAAGGAAAGAAATGTGATGACTAATTCAGTAGAAGAGGTTTAACAGGAATGGTACTCTGTTCCAGGACCGCTTCAACAGCTTTGGGGTCCTTGGCCCTAAACTTCTCATCACTAAGTGACACTCTTGCATAAATAATCAACATTCCATAGTAAAAATGATATCCAATGACGTGTGACATAACTCTCCATACATCACTTTTTTTTGAAAAGTTTAGTATTAAATGATTTTTTAAGAACTAGTGGCGACCATTGAACATTGGACCCCAGGGCTCGGGCCATTGGCCTTTCCATGGACCCCAGGGCTCGGGCCCTTCGGGTCCATGCGTTAATACTTTGGTTCGCTAACCAAGAGATGGAGGACAAGTTGGAAATTCAGAGGTGAACAAATAAATGGAAATTTATGAATGGAGCAAAGAAATGGACCCTCACATCACAATTACCATATTTACCCGAATATAAGACAAACTTTTTTCCTACAGTCAAAAAATGTGGGGTCTTCTTATATTTGCAGACTAAGCCTCAACAGTTAGGGTGTACTTTTTTATAGTGCCTTTCCATGACACGAAACTTGTGAATGTTATTGTAATAATAAGCTGCTAAGACAATAAAAATATCGCGTATATCTAAAATATGTAATGACATTCGAGATCGTATTTTGGGCATCACCACGAATGAGTCATGCAATTCAGGCCGATCATTTTGAATTACTTGTCATTTATATCTTTGAATTGTCATTTATGTTGTAATTTCATTTGTGTATACAATATTTCAACAATTCATAATACATTTTATTTTATATTTTCAGACTTTTAGGCCATGAACCACAGCCTACAAGCCCGAAAGTATTAAATAACAAGGATGCCAGCCATGAAAGCCTACATTGTATGTTAATTCATAATACATACTGTGATTTTGCATTTGCTTTATTGAAAATTTGTGATAATTCTACAAAGCATATTTTGGAACACTGAGTTAATTTTATGGTTGCTAAACATAAAAGAGTGCCACAAAAATGGAAATGTTCTAGTTTTTATTTGCTGTAAAGAGCACCATTTGTGAGCCCAACCATTTGTGAGCTTTAGTTGTAAATCTGTCACTATTTGTTAGTATCTACAATATGCTCCAGTGAATGAACATTGTGGCAGCAACTGATTTACAAGTAGAACAAACCCCACTTGCTCATATACACCTATAGAGAGAGATCTTCTCTATAGTCCCTATAGAGAAGAAAATAATAGATTTTGATATTTGAAGACTTACATGGAACCACTCCTCCAAATTTCTCTGGATCACTATTAATCAGACGATTCTTCAGAGTTCTCCGACCAACACCTTGTGAACCAATAAGAGCTAGAGTTCGGCGCTTAAACGGAGGCATGCGAGTCACTTCTTCATACAGAAGCAGCTCGGCTTTATCAAATTCTGAATTTGATTTACTTTGATACATGGTTTTCCTCTTCTTTTTCGATATCTATAAATACCAAGAATCAGAACATTACTGAAGACACATCCTGATACTGCGTTATGTAAAAATGTTTTATCAATACTCAAATGTTTTCTCTACGTTAACAACAATCAGGAATTATACTATTTCATAAAATTACAAACTCATACAAAGGTTTATTATCAAAAATGTGTCATTTTGAAAGGCAATGTACTTTCATTTTCAAACAAAAAACACTTTAATAAAATTAAAAAGTTATAATGACATTCAGCATCACAAAATATTATTTTTAATAAGTAAAATAAATACAGATATGATTCATTCAATGAGATGTAAATGAGTTCACCCAGTGTAAGTCACATATATTTATTATGGCAATTTATTGAAATACTTTAATCCCAGGTTGTCCTTCATAAAAAAGGAACATCTGATTATTGATAATTTATGGATAATCATACAAAATTGAATCAGAATATTTTAAAAAGAGGATTATTCTAAAGGATGTAAGGTACTTCACCCCCTAGGAGACATTCTAGGTAGTTGCCAACATTTCAGCCATCATACTGTGACTTTCCTGTGAGTGAAATGTCTTGAGAAAATGCATTTAATCCTGAGGAAAGGCACAGCATTTTGGTCAAAACTTTGGCACATATGCCTAGAATGCAGTGTCTCCCAGGCAGCTAAGTATCTATTGACTCTGGCTGTGGAAACCAATGATTTCAAAGTGGTGGTAACTTACACGTGCACCACAAATGCTGATCTTGTGAACATAATCTGCTTCTGGTTTAACGAAGGCTTGCCGTCTCTCCTCCAGCTCTTGAGAAGGAATTAGGCCAGCTGGCCCATTAGAACCTACAATCTTAGCTTGCCACCAATTTGGATCCTTTTGGTTAACAACCTGTAACACAATGAACCCAAACTATTTCCACCTACTGTACATTTCCGAGCCTCCTTTCCCATCAAACATTATATTTTCATATTTTACTAATAAACACACATGAGACAAGAAGAATGAAATTATAACTTAAATGATACCATTAATAAAAATGTCAGAATAAAAAAAGGAGAAAATCTGAGAATAAACATAATTCGTGAAATAAACTTATTTTCATTCACTATGACAGTCTGAAGATTTATAACACTATTTTTGTCTTGGTCCCACGTTTTATTACTAACAGTGAGGATTAGGAACAAGTCAAAAATTAACTTGAGTACAGATTATTCCTAATACTGACTGTCTATAATAAAACATGAGACCATGACAAAGAAAATAAAATGTTTTATTAAGTAAAGCTGTGAGGTTCCTTTCAAAATTTGCGGGGAAGCCACCCCTTTTGCACAAGACTATGCCAATTATATAATTATAAATTCTTTTCGCTACAACTTACTTGAAGAATATCCCCATGTTTGAAGCCAAGACCAATTTCTTTGCATGGCAATAATGAATCTTCATGAGGATTATAGTCAAACAGAGCTCGCATGTAACACTGCAATAAAATTGGTTTTCTTTAAAACATTTATTTCAATCACTGTATTTTATATAAACAATCAAAAGCAAACAAAAAATCTTAATAGTTGTTCTCTGAAATGAATCTATTTTGCGTGCACCATGCTAATCATGCAAAAGAACAATTAAACTACACACAAAAGTTTAGTGACAGTAAGGAAAACCCACAAGAGAAAATTGTATTTTCTTCACACACAATGAATGTTTGTACTTTGAAGAAACACACCAAAATTATCAATAGATTAAAAAAAAAAAAAGTCACACACTTTTCTGACCTAACACAACACCAGTAAACAATTTAATGGGCAGATCAGGTTACACACTGTTTGCTCGTCTACCATCGTTAACCGACCACTTTGAGAAGTAAAATTGCAAATACGCTAAAACTTTCACACACTAGATGGTACATTCCAGTTTTGCAAACTATACTAGGCTGGAGCAATTTTTGAAACAAAATAATTTCATTTCATTATCATCACCAACAATAGCAGCAATAACAAAACAAAAATTATGAAATAAACTAATGCAAAATGGGTCCAAACAACAGTGCTTGCTGCAAAGTGCTAATGTGATCACCATTATGAAATCCTAGTCCATTTTTATTTTGTTTGGATTCTATTCGTACGACACACGCCATTGTCTCAATGTAGAAGTAATACAAGAAAAACAGTGCCCATTAGAAATCAAAGCCGAACACCCGACGGAACCCCCATTTTGGGGGCTGCAATCCCCATGTGCCGGCCGCCAATGATTTTTATTGATTTAAAAAGTATTTCTGCACATAGTGTGTACGGCAGGCGCAAGCATCTTTTATGCTATTTAGCGTAGGTCGAAGGCCAGGGCTTCATGTGTAGCGAAGCGTCAAGTGTAACTTAAAAGTGTTTGCCAAAAAAGTATTTTTTGAAGAAACGACTTAGAAACGTGTTACGCGTTGAACAAACTCAAAAATGTTTTATGTTAATTGCGTAGGTCGAAAGCCGAAGTTTTATAATGATACTGGATACGCGTAGCCACGCGTCAATTCGCCTTACTACTTTGATTTCGATTGTCAACTACGACGCTATTCCGCTCGAGGATGGGTGTTGCTTCGGCCACCAAGGCTACAGCCATGTAGACTTCGTGGTTCCAGCAGAAAAGAGTCGAAAGTGTTCTCGCGACAGCGCATAGAATTCTTCACTTTCGTCACAATAAGGAGGAATATGTTAATAAAGGGAATATGTCAGTCCTATGACTGGTATATTTTGCGTTAAGGTTGTCTCTATGAGTTCAAGCAGAGCTTGAGTTAATGCCAGCTAACATCGCGCTCTGGTCATAACAGGATCTGCGCTACAATCACAATTTCATTGAATTGATTCTCTGTTGTATTCATTTGCAGAATTTAAATTATTTCACTGATACATGTAAAATAATAAATTCTACACAAAATCATTAGAAGAAGACTACTAAGGAGGGTCGAAAGAATTCTATATCTAAGATCTAAGAACATGCAAATGTGTTAAACAATAAAATAATTTCATATTATCACTAATACAACAATCCATTAAACTGTTATACAAGCCTGGAATATTGGCCCATCACCATGTCGGAAAGTTGATCTGCAAGAGAAACCAGTCTTGGCTGCATAAAAGAAGTTATGAATAAAAACGGCGAAAACGAGATTTTGTCATAGCTATTCGTAAAAAGATTAGATCTACTTGTGGGTATATAGAGCTAAGTCTCAGACCACTTTTAATCTGAGTTAAACGTTTGTGAATTTTGGGTGTGTGAGAAAAAACACAGACCATATTTCGCTGGAATAAAGAAAGCTATGTACAGATTTGGCTGAAAATATATTGAACTGGAGGGCCGAGATGGACTTAAAAAACAAAAATTTGTAATACCAGCTTTTCTCCAAACCACTATTTTGGACATACATTCTTTTTGCAGCAAACCCAAAAATACAAAATTACAAGTGGAATGTACTTTGATTCAGAAACGGAATTACAAATTTATCTTGCAATTTGACAAAACGGGGAAATAATGGGAATTTCTCAGTGGTATAAAGGAAACTACTTTTAGTGTTTTTAAAAGATTTTACTAATTTTTATTACGAGTCAATTTGTGGGCTGAGTATAATTATTGTGTAACAAGGGCTATTTGAATGTTTGAGTGTAATTAACAATGAAGCAATAAGATTAAGCTTCTAATTAATTTCTACCCATATTAATGAAGGTAAAAACGATGTGAAGCAGGATGCAGGGAAACAAGAATCTAACTGAATCCACAATACGCTGCACATAGTACGTCAACAAGCGCCATTGAAGCGCCTTCACAGAGTGAAGCTGGTCTGGACGTCCAGAAAGATTGGACGTTCAATAATGAATAAAAACCGTAAAGGAGCGGTTCCAGGGAGATGAACCGCGGAGAAGAGATCCCAATACAGTGTCTGATGTTCTGAGGTGGACTGTACTAGAACGAGTTAGCCCAAAGCGAAATTATTTGAAGATGTATAAGTGGGGCATATGCTTCAAGAGGAGATTAGACAGGTCGAATAAAAAAGTGCAAATGCGAAAACATTGCTCTTTGATATAACTCGTGCCTTCAAAGAATTTCGTTGGCTTTCTGAGATATACAAGACAAATAATGAAAGCAATGCAATGCCATGAAATTTGAGATGTAGGTAATTAAAAATTTGATCAAATTTGATATTATTCCCTCCACCTTTTAGAACATGCAATCGTGCAAACGATAAATGGTTGAATTGACTCAGGATAATAACTAGTGTTAACCCGGTGCGGATCCAATGAGGGGGAAATGAGGAAAATTCCCCCCTAAAACTTTTCTATAACTATTAAGTTTAACTTGTCACGAAACTTTGAAGGAAAAATATTTTGCATTATAATTAAAATGAATACAATCGTATCGCAGCAAAAGCTGAGTAGCCTGCGACGTTTTACAAAATCTGTAATAAGAACATTTGACGAAAACATTTTGATTTTTACGTCCCAAAATGCGTCTCTGGATTCGCCCCTGTGTTGACACTAGAAAGCCCGGACCCTGCATTTACCTAGAGTGCCTGCGGGCCGTATATTAAATGGGCTATATCTGGATTTTGGGGATTTTATGTACACAAATAAATGTACGTATTTCAGTTAACATTTTTATTGGTTGATTACAGTAATTAGAAGAATATATACAATGGACATCAAAATAATAACGAGAATTCTGGCTTCATACTCGTGAGTTGCCTTTCGTCCTAAGATAAAAGTCCCGATAGCGTTTCATTCCATCACCGACTTCTAACATCGACCCTTTAGATACAATGAACACTAATGCTTTGTTGCTCTAATCTTTGTTGAAAAGAGAGAGTCCATGGTTTGTCGGAAGAGAGATAAGGTGATATAAACAAAATAATTCGACACACGGAGCGCACGGATTAGGAGCTATTGGGAAGCAATCAATTTGGCGGCTATCGAGCGTTTAAAATCAATCGATCGATATAACAATTTCGAGTGAATTAATATTTTCGAAATTTTTACATATACTTTAAATCATAAATACATTCAAAGTCAAGTAATCACATTCTGTTCATTTGAATAAAAATAATATTACTTGAATATGTTGTCAAAATGACGGCGTTTCTAGTGTTAATGCAGCATTTCTGACCGCAAATTTTGAACATTTGCTACTTATATTACCAGGTGAAATTCGGCCGCTGTCTGAAGAACTCTTAGCGGCTCAGCAGTTTTCGTGGTTTCTCCGATCAATCCCAGGCGAATGACGGAACAAAACCTAAACGGACAATCTTTTATTCCGCATCTCCCCTTACACGCACACTACACTCGCATGTACTTAAGTACCACCCTTGTGGGAGACCAATTGGGAGCTTAGAGCAGTCCCGGCTGGGACGGTGCCCCATTGGAGAAGATAACTGGAGAAGGGAATGCTAACACGACGGCCGACGCAGCATTTCGGTTACGTCCCAGTGGGGGAGGAACGCCGGCACTCCTCGGGGCATTACATGCACTACTACTTACAGGACAAATGGCCATAGCAGTTGACGCGCCCGGAATCCCAAAACAGTCAAATCGTGCAAATGAAGAAGATGGTGTCCAAAGCAGAAACCGTCACCTTGCGTCCGCCACCGCCACCGTCACCACGGGCCTGCAAAGGGGGCGCGCGCTACTCACCACGAAGCTGGTGCCGTCGGCCATGACGCGCGGGAGCCGCTTTACCTGGCCGGCGCCGTGCGCGGGCGTGTCCTCGAACCCCGGACCGATCTTGAGGGTGACGGAGTCGGTGGCGCGCGCGATGTGCGTTTGCAGCTCCTCGGGCGTGGACACGGGCGTGCCGTTCACCTCCAGGATCACGTCCCCGGCGTGCAGCAGCCCCTGGCGGTCGATCATGCCTCCGCCCAGCACGCGCGCGATCACCAGCTGCCCGTGCTCGTCCACCTGCACCGTCAGCCCCTGCGGCCGAAAGCGCGTGCGCGCCCGTCACTCACTCATTCACATTCCATTCATTCCTTCCTTCATTCATTATTGGCCCGTGCTCGTCCACCAACACCGACAGGCCTTGCGGCCGCGCGCATGCCAGTCACTCGTTGGATCTATCACTCATTCACCATTCATTCATTTATTCATTTATCCTTCGCCCGTTCGTCCAACTGCACGTCACTCATCAATCGCTCGCACAATCAATCGCAACTGCATTTCACTCATCATGTAATACACTAGTCAAGCACTCACCTACCAAGCACATTCATCACCTTACATCACCTACACACTACACAACATCGTAAAACTATTTTTCGTGCACCAATGAACATTCGTACAGGTGAGGTTGGAGGAAGGGAAGTGAGGGGGAGATGGATGAGAAGTGAGGGGAAGGAAGGAAGGAAGGAAGGAAGGAGGAGTATGGAGGTGCGAAGTGGACGGAGGAGGAGATTGTTGAGGAGGGAGAGGAGGGGTGGGAGGGAGAGAGGGAGAGGAGGGGTGGGAGAGGGGGAGGGGGCGTGAGGAAGGGCGTGGCACTCACCAGTGGCTCCTTGGGGCTCTTGCGCAGCCCCACCATGCGGATGGCGTCGGCCGCCATGCCGTTGGCCGCGGGGTCGGCGGCGGGCGGGGGCTCCTGCTGCGCCTTCTCCTGCAGCCGCGCCTCGCGCTCGTAGCTCTTCTCCGCCACGCGGTCGTGCGACTCCAGCAGCGCCTGCGCACCCAACCAACCGCTTTCACACCCACGCACTCAACGCGTCAATTCGTCCTTTACAGTTAGCACATTTGTAAATAGCCTCAACACCTGCAATGCCATCGCCCTGCCTCACGTGGTCTCTCTCGCAAAGGCGCTATATAAATGGTCTTATTCTATATCTTAGCGATTCGAGGGCATTCTGTTTTGCGGTTGAAGAGAATAGGGCTTATTAATTACTTAAAACAACATTTTGGCGTAAAGTGTGATGGATGGACAGTTTATGTTAATCGCATAGACCGAAGGCCGGACCTCGTCATGAAATTGGACTCGCGTCGCGAAGCGTCATCTGGTTATGTATGTACTAACTTCGTTTTGTTGAGGTAATAGTTTTTCATATATTTCCTTCACACGTTTACCACACATGCCGCGAGACCAGTCGGGAGAGGTGCACCTGGAGGAGGAAAACCCCGCAAGCCAACTAGTGAGTCAGCGCCGAAAGAACGTTCGAGCAGGGAAGGCGAAAATATGCACCGCACTCATGGGACTATTGTCGAAGTAGCTGACACCGGGAGAGGTGGCTCGGCTGCGTGAGCTGATGTCACTGCAGCGCCTCTGACCGGGAGGTCAACGGTTCCACTCCCGACGGCGTGGTAGGAGTTTCTACACGAGCTGGACAGGTCTATTCAGTGACTGTCTGAAGGACGTCTAATTCTAGTGGCCGGCTGCTCTGATCGGTAGTAGTTCGTTGTTTCTTCGTTCAACACCCAGCGAATGCCGGAGCAGTAGCCTGACGGAAGGGCGCGATATTTCATTCCTCTTCCTTGCCTTATCTTCATTTCTTACACACATACATACATACATACACACACACACACACACTAACACGCACTCCTCTACGACACATGTTGGAAGACCGCTCGGGATCTTAGAGCTTGTCCCAGCTGGGGCGGTGAGCCCGCCGGTGGGAGATACCTGATTGAGGGAAACCCCTTTAGCCGACGATAGCTTGGCGCCGGATTTCACCATCCAGCGAGAGAAGATCACCGCCACCTCAGAAGAAAAAACCCATTGCCCTACACTTCCGTGACTAAAGACCTTAATAGTTGACGCGCCCGGGATCACTAATCAATGGCTCAATCGAAGTAGCTGACGGAATCGTCAACGAGGCGCGTGGCCCAACAGTGCGCGAAGCCGCACCCACCTTGAGGCGCTCTAGCACTGCCCGCGGCGCCATGGCCCCCGACGCGACGCGATGCGACGCGACGCGATGCGACGTCCCCAGGCGACTGCGCTTCCAAGGAGGCCGAGCCGCGCAGCGCCGGCGCAGTTAGCGCTAATGAAATCGTCCGGGGTCACCGAGGTTGCATTAACGTCGTCGAGCGGGCAAGAGGGCAACGAGAAAGAACCTTGGACGCTACGTCGCGCTCCGCTGCGTCGTTTTGACGTCTCAGGGAGCACGACCGAGAGATCGCCGGCTCTCTCAGGTATTTCGTCCGAACTGATTTGCATTGGGAGCAACTACACATACATACAGGAGAGATCACCTTCTGTGAATAGGATCATTGTTGAATGGAACAATTTGCCTGCAGAGGTGCAACTGATTCCTCCGAGAACGCGGAACATGGGCATTCGCTTTCGAGGATTTTCAGGAGCGCAAGGGTTAGTGCAGTGAGGTCCTTCTCCTGTATTCGCCTGGCACTGTTCGGAAAAAAACACAGAAAACTCTCCATTGTAGCAACCGGCCTCTAGACTTCTCCTGAAAACAGCGGTTGTATGTCACCTTGCTCTACAGCAAGTATATAAAATCCGTCACCTTCGAGACTCGATCTCTAGTCTCCCCGGTCAGAGTGACTGCGACATCAACGGTTTGTATGCCAGAGTCATCTTGGCCGGTACAGAATTCCCATATTAAGTGGTCTAAACACAACCCACACCAACAATTTCGACAACAGCTAGGTCGAATTCAGTCCCTGTCTGCAGGACAATTCTAGCGGCCGGCTGCTCTGATCGGTAGTTTTCTATGGTTTCTCCGATCGACAGCAGGAGCAGTACCCTAACAAACGGGTCACGGATCATCGCGCGCGATCTTCCTTCCTTTTCCTTGTTCTATCCTCACCCCTTACACACACACACACACACACACACACACACACACACACACACACACACACACACACACACTACGCTACCAGACATGCCGCGAGACAGGTCGGGAGGCTTAGAGCTTGCCGCGGCTGGTAGGAGATATCTGGTTAAGAACACCCCGCTAGCCGATGGTAGGTCGGCACCGGATCTCGTCATCCAGCGAGGAAAGATCCCCGCCACCGCCGGAGGAAAAATACGCACTAAAGTTACGGGAATAATGACCTCGGTATCTGACGCGCCCGGAATCACTAACAACCAGCTAACCAACTGGAGCAGCCCCCCCCCAAGTGCATCGAGCGTTGACGGTCGAGGCAGTCGCGACAGGAATGCAAATGCGCGAGGGGTGTTGGCGCAATGGCTCTCGCACTCAAGGTTACTTTCACCACTTCATTTCCTGCATTTCTTACTCGCCGCTTTGCCTTCTACCTGTTATGCACTTGCCCCTGAAACGTCGGATTCCATTCAGGAGATCAGCCTGTGTCGGCAGCCTGTACACCGAAGATGCTTGCGAACAACAGGAGCTGCCAGCATTAACACGCCTCGGATGATTACATTAACTAGAAATGATTGCTGAAAATAATAACCTTTTCCAAAGAAACTGTGGTGAGAACTTTCTTCTTGTAACTTAGTTACACAGATGACAATTGCCCCTGAATGGTAGAATGATGAATTGCAAACTAATCAGGGTCAAATGCCAAATGTGAACTTCGTAATAAATATAATTTCCCATTATATGCTTATTGGTAAAAAGGGATCACTAGGGGGCGGATTTTATTGAAATGTTATTTTTTCTTTTCATTTTAGAACAATGCTATTTAGTATATACATGTTATTGAAAAAGGAAATCACACATTTTTATACATCACTCTTTTGCATATTTCGTCGATTTCGACCAACAAGTCATTTTTTGCCTTTCCCCGACATTTTTAATGCATTTTCGCTTATTTCATTTATTGTAATATCATTTTAATGGTACTTGCTTCAAATACATTTTATGAGATGCAACAAGGTGATCTCCACACAATTCCTGAGTAGCCTATTCGATTTCTTTACTCATATATTGTAATGTCAGGTTCCTGTGACGTCTATCAGCGCCGCTGTCAGTTCGGCCAATTTCGGGATAACTAAAGACAGAGATTTCCGGGGAAAGAACCGGCGAAACAAAAATTTTGGATGCAGAGTTCACTTGAACGAAAGGAAGATGCCTCGATTACATCAGTACTTGTTCATGATGATCGATACTATCAGTATGTAACTTGATGGATGTTAGACATGCTTGAGTCGTTCGTCCTTCCTCGTTTCGCTGCGCGAGGGGCGAAAGGACTGTCGCCAGTCTGTTGCGTCTTAAGTTCGATTTTGGCGAATTTGTGAAGAATAAAACACATTAAGTTACAACAGGAATACGACTGCGGATGGAAATTCTCTAAATCTTCTGACAGACAATGTCGACGTAGTCTGTAGTTTCGAGTTCAATAGTGTTAGTCATAAATATAAATATCTATTAACATGATACCTTCAAACTTAACACAGTCCACAAATTACGTAACGTAAATTTGAAGTATTTTGAATAACCTTCCTGCCCCCCTGTAACGCGTGCTTGAACCCCCTTTAATAATTACGTAACGCTTGCGACAAGACCCCCCTCCTAATATTCAATTAATATATCATTGATGAAAAATATTTTATACAATATAACGTCTTTAATTTATTATATTTTATTATTTATTATATTTTATTATTAATTTGATAATATGGAAATGTTTTAATACAAGACTGAATAAAAGGAATCGTTTCAGCACATCTTGATTTTTAAAAAATATCAGCATTACGTAACACTAAACTATGACCCCCCCCCAAACAACCTGTGCAACGCATTAATTCCAATGGATTTTTAATGGGACAATATTTCTCGCGAACACACACAATGCCTCAAACTCGAAAAACCACCTTACTCTAGCCCGCGCCCTGTAGCTAATGCCAGATTTTGCCGGATGAAGTCCGTTTGCAAATATTCATTCACAGTTAAACAACTTCTCTTATGAACGTGCACATTAACAGCTTAATTCTCGAATTTGTCATATTTCGGCCTTCAATAGTAACACATCGAGAATGTGCTGAATGTGCTGATGGCAAGTGAAGCCGCTTTCGATTTCCTGAATTGTGTTACTCTTCCATGCTCACATCCAGGCCCGCATGCCCGCCATCAAAAAAGGCCTACAGTTACAGTTTACTTTTCTTTATTTTGAAAAAATGATTTAAGTATTCATTTATGCTATTATTTATTTATTATGTAATTATTTAAACTATAATATTGTATAGTATCATATCTACAGTACATAAATAACATTCAATATAATAAGAAATGTGTGTATTATTTAACAAAAATCTACGATGCCTCCCCCCCCCTCGAAAAATGATCGGCATGATCCGCCACTGCCCCCCTTCCATACTTCGTAACTGCCCCCAAAGATTTTCGGCGGCGGCGTCTAGGTTTTCGGCCGCCACGAGCCCGTAGCTCTCAAGGCCGGGAGCTCTGAAACCTCATTCACAATCCAACTCGAACGTAAACGTCACGAAATGTGAACGTAATAGCTTCCTGCAATGAAATGGAACCTTTCGAAACGGCCAACTTGATTGTAAACGTGAACATAAACATACGGCGTAACCGTGAAATAGCACACGCTCCAAGCTTTCTCGTTCACAACATGATCTGGAACACAGTATTGTGTACCGAAGCTTGATCCAAATAACTTCTAGTGTTGCCGTTATTAAAAAACTTCCTTATTTTGTAAGATCATTAAATGCCATTTATCATCTTTGCTCATGACGCGCTCAATATTTTCATTTGTCGTGCTTCTGGTACTGGAACTAATAATCATCCTAACAGTAGCTGAACCCGTGCAATCACATCGCCCAAAAAGAAGAACTGTACAAAAGTCACACCAGACAAGTACTCCATATGCACTGTATGGAACATCCCAAAAATACTGTTTCATGTAGCTCATTACTTATTCCCCAAGTCTAAATATCTTTGAAGAAACTTCTTTTTAGAGAAAATCTTGTTTTAAACAACAATTTTTGCGTCTATTTTACTTGATTTCGTATGATTGTGAAAACACGGTGTCTCTGAGTACATGTTACAAGAATCTACAATATTTAAGGGACGAGTTGAAAATCGTCACATTCGCCAACGAAACATTTAGTGAGAAATTTCTAACAACGTAGTTAGATTTGTATGTGACATTTGCCCCTTATTGATAGGCAACTCATTGTGCACTCATGTTTGGTGGAGCTTTCGAATACCTGCCAGACACCAAAGCATTATGGGTTGTAAACCCAGCGTCAAATGCCAAATGTGTAACTTCGCAATACATAAAATTTCCCATTACATGTCAAAAGTGTGTGTGTGTGTGTGTGAGAGAGAGAGAGAGAAAGAAAGGGAAGAGAGAGAGAGAAAGGGAAGAGAGAGAGAAAGGGAAGAGAGAGAGAGAAAGGGAAGAGAGAGAGAAAGAAAGGGAAGAGAGAGAGAAAGAAAGGGAAGAGAGAGAGAAAGAAAGGGAAGAGAGAGAGAGAAAGAAAGGGAAGAGAGAGAGAGAGAAAGGGAAGAGAGAGAGAGAGAAAGGGAAGAGAGAGAGAAAGGGAAGATAGAGAGAGAAAGGGAAGAGAGAGAGAGAAAGAAAGGGAAGAGAGAGAGAGAAAGAAAGGGAAGAGAGAGAGAGAGAGAGAGAGAGAGAGAGGGAGAGAGAGAGAAGAGCGAGACTCACCCGGAAGTGCGGCCCGGCGAGGAGGCGCGCGAGCTCCTGGGCGTCGGGGGCGCTGGCGGCGGCGGCGGCGGCGGTGGAGGCGGAGGCGCAGGCGCTGAGCAGGTCCGCTGCGCCGGTGGCGACGGGCCGCGCGTTGGCCACGGGCGCCTCCAGCCGGTCCTGCACCTGCCGCACGCGCTGCTCAGCTCACCTCGCCCGTCGCAACGCGCCTCGCATTAGCAACTACAGTCACTTCAGGTCAGTGCGTATTAGAAACGGGAGGTGGGGGGGGGGGGTTCTTCTCTGAACGTGAGATTGGGAAACCGCAGAGGAAAACCGTCGATACACACGTCGCTTTCCCTCTGGAGGAATTTCAACCGACGGAGCACTGCTCCAGCCGGGATACTCCAAGCTCACAATCAGTCTCTTGACATATGTGGCAGTGAAATGCATGTGTGTGTTTGTATGTCTGTCTGGAATAGGAGAGGAAATGACCGGGATAAGGAAAGATTTTGTTACACTACTGCTTGGACATTCGTCTGGTTATGATCGGGAAAATGAAAAACTACCGATTAGAAAAAAAATCTATTGACCTTTGAATTATCATCCAGACACTGGATGAATTTGACCTCGTTTTCTAGCTAATGTCGAAAGAGCCCAAGTGTTAGGACTCGAATTCCGGACCCTCCGAGTCAGAAATGCTACACCGGCATCCGTTGCTATCACTGAACCGTCCCAGCCTGTCAGGTGTCCGCGTTGGCTGTTCAGTCCGACTTCGATGTTACTTCTCCCGGAGAGCTGAGAGCGTTCCCAGTCAAGAACGTTCTTCTCGTTCAACGGAACAATCAAAGAACTTGTTTGGCAACACCGACGTTTTGTGTCTAAGTCGCATTGCTACTAGTGATGCGACATCGATAACAAAACATCGATGTTAAAGCAACATCAACTACAAATCATCGATGTTAAAATAACATAAATGCTATAAAGTTGGTTTAGACACCATTAAATTCGTGTGCATTACAATTAAATTTGACAGCGTTCGTGTTTATCAAGTCGCCAATTAAGGGCACGAGATGATGGGCCAGACCGTATACCCACAGCATATTTGTTGACCGTATCTCAATGTGCGAAATAAATATGAAGAAAGAAGAAATACAAGGGCATGGAGGTTGGTCGATGAAGGTAGTGCAAATAGCGACCTTCGGTTCCAACATATGAATAAGAGTGTAACTATCAGTTATTATTTCATGTTTTAACTTTTAGAGTATTGTTATAATAATGTTTCAGAAACAAATCATTGGAATAAAAAAAATATCGATCACAAAACATCGATGTTAAGTGAACATCGGTGTTACTACATCGATGTTTCTACAAAAACATCGACATGGATGTCGCATGGTTCTGCTGCAGCTGCTGGCGTTGGGGACGGGGGGAGAGGGGGGCGCCTGCTGAGCGCGTGCGGGAAGGCGCCTTATCGCGGCTTTCGACAGCTTTCCCCAGTCGGCGGTGAATCAGCGGCGGACACGCACGGGGGCGTGCGGGGGCGTGCGGGGGCGCGCGTGTGCTTCCGCCTCGCTGCGTCGCGTCTTACGCAACGCCCCAGGCCCCGGGCGCACGCCCCGCAGCCCGAACAGCGAAGCGGCGGCGCTCCGGCGGGCGTTCTCGCGCAGGGACGTTGGGTTGGTGGGAGTACATGCGAGAGGACTGGTGCGAGAGGGAGAGAAAGAGAAGACGCTTTGGGATGTGGATTGACGGATTTTGTGTGTGTAAGTGAGAGAGAGGGAGAGGGGGGACAGACAGGGAGAGACAGACAGAGAGAGAGAGAGAGATAAAGAGAGAGGAGGAGAGATGGAGAGAGAGGAGGAGAGATGGAGAGAGAGGAGGAGAGATGGAGAGAGAGAGAGCAGGGAGGAAGGGGTGGGTTAGCGGGAGTGCTAGTGTTTTGGCTATTGTGAAGTAGGTGTCGAAAATCCCGGCCGAGGACACGCCCAATCAATGCTTATAAACAAACTCCTTTCCGATAGTCCACCAGTCGCGTGGTCAGAAACTTCACGAGTTTTTCAAGACATCTGGGTCTTCCACCCCGTTTTCTAGATAAAGTAGGCGGACCCTCACTGAAAATCTAACTACAAAAGAATTAATACAAAATGATAATGACAAGTTTGTGCTTCTCTTATCATTATTTGTACATACTACTTCATAATGTTGCTTACTGCAACGAAAAACAGTATGTGTCTCTTCAAATTCACGCGAGGATAACTCTAGCACTGAAATATGGAAATTACCTTTCGGTTTCGCCGGTAATCTTGTGGAATTTCTTGGTGAAGGATTAGAGACAGATATACTTGCAACTAATCAGTAAGCTTTTATTCTCTCGTTAAGGCTTTGCTTGTAGAATGATTGACGAACTTGGGAAGAATTCAAATATGTAGGCATTTTGATTACGCATAAGAAAAAAAGAGCGAATGACTGTGCGGCGTTTCTCCCTTGCTGGAACGTGACATCCGGCGCCGATCTACACGTCGGTTCCCTCTCTAGGTATCTTCGCATGGCAGGGAACCGCCCCAGTCGGGACGACCTCTAAGGTTCAGTTCGCTCTCCTGACATGTGTGGTAATGTAGTGCATGCAAGTAAAGATGTGAAGGGAGATAAGAGGGGGCAAGGATGAGGAAGGAAAGGTCACATGCGGTCTCTTGTTAGAACACTGCTCCGCCAATCGCCTGCTCTTGATCGGAGAAACCACGGAAAACTTCCAATCAGAACGACCGGCCTCAAGAATTGTCCATAGAGTGGCTGAATTCGACCGAATTACTATGTAATGAGCGTAAAATCGGAATCGAACTTTAAGGCCTCCCGGTCAAATATTGTGCAAAGGTAATGGTGTTGCCGCTGATAATACAAGAAACCTGTAATTAAGTATTTGAGACTTATTCGTAGGGGAACTGCTCATAAGGCGGTTATTGAAAGCCTCCTGGCAGTTGGCCCGGCTTCGACGCTCGCGTTGACAGCTCACGACCGAGGGGCGCGGCCAGCGAGGCGTTCCTGCCGCGAGTGCCAGCCGCTCCAACCGTCTCGGCGCAGTACACTCCTCCCAGGAGAAAGCGCCCACGCCCTGCACGCGTAAACAACTGACGAGCACATCTCAGGCTGCTATCTGGAGGCGGTTATGAGAAGCTGTCGGAAAGCACTCTCCGGAAAGCTTTGCCTCTTCCTTTTCCCTTTTTCTACTCTTTCTCTTCTCACGGAAAACAAACAATACTCACATATTCTCCTAATTTCAAAGCGACAACAACAATAATAGTAATAATAATAATAACAAATAATAATAATAACAAGTTTTCTGAAAAGGCATTCGATGAAAATTTATTGTCATCATTAGGGAGCGCATTTCTATGATTTTGCATATTTAAGTGAAATTAGCGAAGTACATAGCTAAGTGAAATTTCTTGACATGTGATTACAATATGATAGTATATAGATTAATATGTTAGTGCATATTTGGCCGGTGCATATTCGTGTAATTAAGGGCGCACATTTGGCATTTTGCATTTGCAGCAATAGATAGAATTATACCAGTACCAACACCAATAACAAGAATTATGAGTTTGGTAGAAAGTTGAAATCCCCTTACAAGACCTTAGAGTTACATAGTTGTTTAGCTAACCGTATCAATTACGTGCACATTGAAAAAAATGTTTGATTACATACGAAAAAAAGCTGAGGAGAGAGGAAAAATAAGTTAGCATCTATTTCCACTTTCTCAATCGTCACGGAATGAAGAGCGGCAGCTTGGGACAGCCCTCCTTACGTCATTCCGCAATCGACGGCTTTCGGAGGTCGGCCTTTGCAACGTACGACAATGTGAGGGGCGGTTTGAAGGAGTCTTTCTGAATGAAGACCAATCAGCTCCGGACTTTCCAAACTTGTACAGCGCCATGACAAACATTATTTTTTCACATCAACGTTTTTGGTTTGTATTTCGAAAAATAAAGAGCGTCTTGTGGTTCGTGTTCGCAATGCATATTTTGACTTGAATGAACACACCCATGATGAGGAACCTATTTTACCCACTCTCCCTCGTATGTATGCCTTTATTTTGTAAACCGTTTTCGAACTCACGAGACCACGAAACAACAGGGAAATCTTTTTAAAGAAGCCGCAGAATATCCGAGCAAATCTGCTTTTGTCCGTGGGAAGTTACGTAAGGAGAGGCTTCTGTTTTCACGCGAGAAATAAACGCATCTGAAATGGAACTGAGCTGAAGAACGACTATAAATAAAAATCACGTATAACAAAATAAATTCTTTTGAAGCTCATATGATATGGAGCTCATATGTATAATGACAGCTTAAATCAATGCAAATGGCTGAAATGAAGCTTTGGAGCCAGTCGTGGGATTTATAAGAACTAATCGACTTTGCAATAAGATACTAAATACTTCCTACATTTGTCGGAGAATAACAAACGGAGATGGTATGTATAATGTTCTTGGGGAAACAATTTCCTTAATTTGAATCCATTGATATATGAAGACTTGAAATAAAAAGGATGTAACTGCCATTTCCATACTTTCGATAAAAATGAATTTATATAGTATACGTTAAACTTATTGGCACATACAACTCCTGTCATAATTAATCACCCCCTAACACTTTCAAAAAGTGCGTGGGACTTCTGTTCGCGTAAAATAAAAATTTAAAAGAAATGGCTCTTACATCCTTTTTTTAATTTCAAGTCACCCTGTCATCGGAAAATGGAAAGACTACAATTAAGCCTTAATTAAAACTTTTCGGGGAGCAAGGGGTGCGCGTGGGCGGCGAGGACGGAAGGAAGGTTGAAGGAAGCGTGGCGACGGAGGCGGTGAGGGGGGCAGCCGTGGCCAGTGGCCGTGAGTTCGGCGCCCGCCCACCGGACAGCGCTGGCGGCGGCGCGTTGCGATGCACCACCACTGCCACGCACACGGCCCCTCAAACGCGCAGTGGGTCTTGGGTTGGGTCCCAAGAATGAATTCGGGGTATGGCACTTTTACTACCAACATTTCTGCTACATATAGGGCTATTTTGGGGGCTCAAAATGTACTGTTCTTCAAATACGTCCAAGGGAAATACGAGTCCGTCGCCAAGCAGCCGACAGGATAAAACGTTTGGCCTTTCAATACCAATTGGACCGCAGCCTGTCAT